TTCCTATTGGTCGTCTTAGCTGTCAATATCACAGACTTCGATGCTGTTTCCTATTCGACCTAAATGTATAAATACGCATTATCTGTAACGTTTTATGACCCAGATCCGGATCCCTAGTGCGGGATCCTGATTCTCTACTGTACTCGAACCTCGTACTTTCTGGATGCTTGTAGAATACAGATTCTACTTCATATCAAGTCTTCTTCTTGTATTCAAGGGAAGGGGTTTGGGATACTCGGATTAGAGTAGCCTGTCGTGTCACCGGATCATTGATCCTCGCTCTCGTTTTCCGACTAAGGCAAACTCGTAATAGAAACTATAATAAAATACAAATATTATCATCTCAAAAATGGAATCGAACAGATTAACAAAATGTACAACTGAAAGAATCAATGAGGACAAATTACAAATGTATACACCGAGAGGGATTTTCACAAACAAACCCTTCAAAAATAAATCTTCTACTAACTATCAATGTCACATACTCCAATGTTGTTTCCTATTCAACCTAACTGTATAAATATGCATTATCTGTAACATTTTATGACCCAGATCCTTAGTCATGGATCCTTAGCGTGTTCTGCATTACGATTTCGTACTTTCTGGATGCTTATAGAATTCATGTTCTACCCAATATCAAGTCTTCTGCTTCCATTCACTGTAGGTTTGGGACGTCCGGATTAGAGCAGCCTGTCGTGTCACCAGATCCTCGATACTCGCTCTCGTTTACTTACTGAATATATTCAATGACGTGGTGACGTGCATTTGTAACACTTACCTACTTTCAATAGGTTATGAAAAATACTTATACAAGTAATATTCTCTCTTTCAATTGTTTAAACTCTTGTCCCGCTTAAATCAAATAATCTTTCTCTTTTCTTAATTTCTTAGAGAATTAAAATTTCAACTACAATCTGCATTAGATCGTGAAGCATATTTACGTCAATTGTTGTCTAGTCGTGAAGCTGGTCTACGTGAAATTCAAGAAAAAGTAGAAAATATTGAAAATATCGAAATGAAAGATAATAATAACAATAATAGTAATAGTAATAATAACAATTCAACATTCAAATTGTAAGTCATAGTGTTCAATGTTTCATTTGACTTTGTTAAAAACAATAATGCTTTTTAAATGAAGTGGGGTATTTCAGACCATAATGTTCATTACAAGCTCCATGACCAAAATATCCAGTTCTAGAGAGAATGTCACTTCATCACAAGTGTCAAGTATATAAAAAAGTGGTTAGATCATTTACAAGAAAACAAATTACACCAAATAGTATTTGGTATCATCCGATTACTACTTACTTACTAATGTCTGTTAACCCCCCAATAGAGCATAGGCGGCACACCAGTTTTCTCCGACCTACTCTATCCTGAGCCTTCATTTCCAGTTCTGTCCAATTTTTAATTCATTCTTCTCATGTCTTTCTCTATTTCTCGGCGTAATGTGTACCTTGGCCTTCGTCTTCTCCTCTGACCTTGAGGGTTCCATGTGAGGGTTTGTCTCGTTACGCAGTTGAGTGCTTTTCGCAGTGTGTATCCTATCCACTTCCACCGCTTCTTCCTGATTTTCTCCTCCACTGGAATCTGGTTTGTTCTCTCCCACAGTACGTTGTTGCTGATGGTGTCTGGCCAACGAATCCGCAGTATTTTGCGTAGACAACTGTTATTGAATACTTGTATCTTCTGGATGATGGCTTACGTAGTTCTCCATGTTTCCGCTCCATACAGTAAATCTATCTTGACATTTGTATTGAAAATCCTGATTTTGGTTTTTATTGAAAGTTGTTTGGAATTCCAGATATTTTTCAATTGTCGAAATGCAGCCCTTGGTTTGCCAATCCGCGCCCTCACATCTGCATCGGATCCACCTTGATTGTCGATGATGCTGTCCAGATATGTAAAGGGTTTTAACGTCCTCCAAGGCATCTCCATCAAGAGTGATTTGGTTAGTGCATGTTGTGTTATTTTTCGTGGAGCATAGGCCCTCGACCAGGATTCGCCAACCAAATCTGTTCTAGTTATTCCCGAATGGCATTCATTCTTTCCATATCTATCCCAGATGAATTGTCTTCATTGGTCTATCTCTTTCCTTTTGGCCTTGAGGACACCAAATTAGGATTTGTCTCGTGACACAGATGGATAATCTTTTTGCAGTGTATGTACCACCATCCACCTTCCGGGCTTTTTATGAATTTCTTACTCAGTTGCAAATTGTCTTATGTCTTTACGCCAATTAGTAACACAAATGACTTTTTATTAATCAATATACAACAAGGACAGAATACGTAACTATTCTGTGCTCTAACAGCAGCCTAAACTTGTTCTAATCGAATTGGGAGAACAAATACCAATTACCACTAGTTCAAGACATATGTTATCATAGTTCAGTAACCAGATGACATCGTACTGATAAACAGAAATGGACAACTACATATGAATGAGACAATAAGTGGCTGTAGGCAAGGTTGCTTACTCCCAACCTTTCTCTTTCTCCTGGTCATCGACTGGATTATGAAGTCGTCGACATCTGAAGGGAAGCACGGTATTCAGTGGACAGCTACGACGCAGCTGGAGGATCTGGACTTCACAGATGATCTGACTCTTTCATCACACATGCAACAATAAATGTAAGAGAAGACGACCAGTGCAGCAGCCACTTCTGAAGAAGTAGGTCTTTAAATTCATAAAGTGAAAAGCAACACAATATGCGCCAACCTAATCACAATTGATGGAGATGCCTTGGAGGACATTAACACCTTTACATATCTGGGCAGCATCATCGACAACCAAGGTGGATCCGATGCAGATATGAGGGCGCGGATCAGCAAAGCAAGGGCTGCATTTCTACAGTTGAAAAGTATCTGGAGCTCCAAACAACTGTCAACCAAAACCAAAATCAGGATTTTCAATACAAATGTCAACACAGTTCTACTGTATGGAACTTGAACTTGGAGAACTACGAAAGGCATCATCCAGAAGATATAAGTGTTTATTAACAGTTGTCTACTCAAAATACTTTGGATTCGTTGACCAGACACCATTAGTAACAACGTGCTGTGGGAGAGAACAAACCAGATTCCAGAGGAGGGGGAAATCAGGAAGAAGCGATGTAAGTGGATAGGACACACACTACGAAAAGCACCTAACTGCGTCACAAGAAAACCCCTCACATGGAACCCTCAAGGTTAAAGGCAAAGAGGAAGGCCAAGGAACACATCAAGCCGGGAAATAGTGAAAGATATGAGAGGAACGAACAAACATTGGACAGAACTTGAGAGGGATGCCCAGGACAGAGTTGGTTGGAGAAAACTGGTGGGCTACCTATGCTTCATTGGAGATAACAGGTGTAAGTAAGTAGTAAGTAAGTAATAAGTGGCTGTGAGTATAGAGGAGAGTGCACCTAAGAAACTAGCAACACATTAGGAATAATAAAAGTTACTTTTTACTCTAATTTTCAGCGGAATAGAACAACTGGTTCGTTTTCTGACGCAGTAAGTTGTTACTAATGGTATCTGGACAACAAATTTAGAGTATCTTGAGTAAGCAACTATTTAGATGATGTTTCTAGGAGTTCTCAAAGTGTCCATTCCATATAATAAGTATTATTTTGACGTTCGTATTTGAATACTATTGTTGTGTTGTTCGTCGACAAGTGATTTCAGTCCTAAATATTCTCCACTTCTAGAAATACTAACCTTGCTTTGCTCAGTCGTGCTGGTACATTAGTATCAGATCCATTCTGCTGATTAATGATGCTTCTCAAAGCATCTCTATTCAAATGTGATTTAATTGGTGCATATGGTGTTGTATTCAGTGTGACCTTGAGCCGTTCTGATTGAATGGATAGGTGTGACCTTGTATGCTAAATCTCATTGGCGCACACGGATTACTCGACCTTGAATCTTAATCACACTAGGAAGTTTATCTCATCTGCATTATCATATCTCTTTATACTGTTTGATTTTTTTAGGCCGAAAAATATTTCAACCACTAAATTACGTGATATGATTGAAGATTATGAAAAAAAGCAAAGAATTTTGAATAGGAAAAATCAATTTTTAATTGCAGAAATACGTGAATTAGCTTCAATTAAATATATGTTTACAGATCATTCCAATAAAATGTCCAAGTAAGTTTTAATAAACGAGATTTTCTAGAGTCGATTATAATAGTGACTGGTGATGTTCAACTATATTGAATGTTGTATCCTTAGCTAATTGACGAATTCTGTAGGACAGAACAAACTGTCAACCATAGTATTATGATCTTGAGATAACAATCTTTAGTTCGAAGATAAGGAGCAGATTTCTGAGTTCCATCGAAGTCATAAGTTGATCAATATGCTCATTAGTCACTAGCTTTATGAGGGAATTCTCAGAGTTCTAATGCGAAATTGTGACTAGTAGAGTTCAACTCTGTTCATGTGTGAAGCTGTGCTCATCGAAGACCATGGTGCGGAGGTTAGGTTTTGGAGCATATAATCGAAAGTCCTTGGTTTAAATCCTGCGAGTAGCATGTATCATGGATGCACACTGCTGATGAGTCCCATACTGGGACGAAACCGCTGTCCATTACTTGCAGGTATCTAGTAGTGGTCCATTATTGATCGATTCATGATTTCAAAATAAGTAACTCAGTAATCTCCCAAACCCTTTCATGTAAATTTGCGTAATGTTAAATTTTTACGTAATTCGATATTGATAACATTTTGGTGAATTTTTGTTCTATGAAACAAATGGCTTAGTCTTGTTCACATTTGATTTTTATGGTGAATTTGAAAGGAATCGAAATTAACATACAGAAAAAAAAATGTTTTAACCAACTGAAAAACGTGAATAATGTATCATGCGAAGTCGATAGTCATACTGATTGCTTTCACGTGACTGATAAATCGTCCCAAGTTTTTAAGTGTTTATGGTTGGGATAATTTAGACTTGACCGTAAATCCTATCCTTAACTCTACTCGTCATACATAGTGTCTTTTTTTCAATTAGAATTATGGAGATCATTGTTTTTACACACTGAAATTATCAATCAATGATTGGTTGATCACCATTAGAAACACGGAAGCACTGGATGACCGTTTCGTCCTGGTATACGGTTCATCAGCAGTGTGGATCCACGACTCCTGCTATTCATGGGATTCGAACCTATTATGTTCGTAACTAAGTATGCTTGAGGCTATTACGAGTTTACCTTAGCCGATAAAAGAGAACGAGACAATTACCAACGTACAGGTAGGCTACCTTGAATCCCAAGCTGAAGAAAAAAAGGCTTTGTAAGCGTAGAAAGTATATTCTACAAACACACAGCAATCACAGTACAATCAAGTATACAACTCTCGTTTATTTATACATCACAGAAACGTCCTTTGGACAGTTACGAAAACAGCACACTGAAATACACAGCATCCAATCACAGCCATGGATTTTCCTGGTGTGAAATGAAATCTCAAGGTCAACTGATCAGCCCATGCTCGGAAACGTGAAATCCAAAATAAGGCATTTATCCAGCGATTTCTGGGGATCTAACATCCCCAACAGAACCCATGACGAATGCCCAACTTCTGGACCGTAAATCTAGTCAAAGCCACCCTCACTAAGAAAGTCTTGTACATTACATTCGATTCATTACAGGAGGGATATTATTTTTGTTGGGGACGGTAGCTCCCCGAAACTGACTTGACAAAGGTTCAGAAGTGCTCGACGACTGGTCCGACATCCTGTACCAATTTGTTAAGCTCAACAACAAGCTGATCTCCATTCCATAAAATATCCTCTCCGACAGCGGGTAGCAACAGTTAAGATGCACGTCGACCCCAGGAACGTACGCTATTAGAAAAAAGGGAGGGGTGTTGGGGACTTTAGATCCCCAGAAATCAATCGATAAACGTACTAATTTTAGATTTTATGTTTTCGTGCGAGGGCCGACCATTTGACCCTGAGATTTAATTTCCCACAACGAAAATCCTTGACTGTCTTTTGTTGATGTATTGTTTTAGTACGTTATTTTTGTGGCTCTCCCGAAGGACGTTTCCATCATGCACAAATAAACTCAATTTGTCTGCT